ACATCTAATTATCTATCAATTACATAAACATTACATCATTAATTATTTAATTAACCAAAAAAATTACATCTTTATTAATAACAAATTAATTTTTAAATAAAACTATTAAATATAAATTGGGCAAACGTGCATTACACGTTGCTTGCCCCTAGTAAATAGAAAAGCAAAAACATAAGCAAAATATAACACGAAAATTAGTCTATAATTCTTCCACGGGCCCATCATCGAGGGCGAAATCCATCCACACCTATTGACGGCCACCCCACCCCCTCCCCTCCTCCTGTTGTGGTTGTTAATGGGTCAATGGATGTCATTAATGGTGACGAGGTGAGAGAAGAATGACAGAGAATTTTTTTTTTTTTTTTTTGGTTCTCTTTGAATTTTTTATTTTTGTTTTGTTTTGATTGTTCTTTTTACATTTAGTTACCTCAAAATTCGTGGATAGAATAAGCAAGGAGTCATGCTCATGTTGAACGCTCTTCCATTCGATAGTACAATCATTGTCACATTATTCAATGAATTTATTTAAGTGAGTTAGTAATCATACTCTTATATCGACAAGTGTCCATCACCAGCATGATAAAAACATTATTTACGCACAAATAGAGTTTTTTTTTTTTTTTTCAATTTTGTTTGGCTCAACGAGAACGCCTAGATGATTTAAAATTCATACACAAAAGAGTAGAGAGGTGTGTGAATTGATTAGAAATTCTCCTAAATTTATTCATAGTTTGACGAATTTGAATTCATTGAGAATTTTGAAACACTTTGAAGAGAGAGAAAAAGTTTTAGAATGAACTTGACTTTAAAAAAAAAAAAAGTAGTGAACATTTTCAATATGTTCAACTTTAAGCCTCGTATAAAAAAAAAATATTTTAATCAAAGTGGATGCATATCTTTTATTCTCGTTAAATACATAACAAGATCTTTGTCCAAATTTTTATTGTCAACTTGTCATATTTCCGACACTTTTGTCTATTAAATTATGAAACCTGTAACTTTCACACACAACAAAATCTGTGAAATATAACTTTTCAGTCAAGACTTGGTAAGGATAAAATCAATTTCAACACTGCCACTATTGGTGCACTAATAATTAATTCAATGATAATTAACTTGAATTCGACACAAATGATGATATATCATCTTCAAAGTGACTAAGCCTTTATTTTCTATACATATAATAATGTTGTTTTCACACGTAAATGGTCAAAACCTAATTTTGGTCCCATTTACGTGGATAAGAACATTTTTCTCGATGGATGAAAATAATGTTACGCTTTGAATCTTTTAATAGATGTAACGTTAGTAAAATAGAATGACGAAAATCGATGGATGAGGTTGTAGAGATTTTAAGAATTAAGCTATCGATTACTCTGATTTAAATTTTACATAATAGATGATGTGGTAGCATTAGTAGGAAGAGCGAGCATGCTCTTGTAACTATCATGACAGGTATACCTTGATTAAATAACTCGTCACTTTCTTAATTGCGAAAACAAAACAAAAAACAAAATCATTATGGTTATGCTTTTGTTCATATACCGTATCTTTCCAAATATGTAATACTCACTTAGGTATGCATGCATGAGACAAATTCGTAACTCCTCGTTGGTGCAAAGAGTATTTATGCTCAAAACGTTACTCCAATGGTAACTAACAAGTCAGTCCCAATTTGTATGCATCGTGCCAACTAAAATATAACATGTAGTCATGTACATGTTTGTTTGATATCGTTAGTAAGTGTTCATAAGTTATGTGGATCACACATAACGTAGAAAGTAAATATATAATTGTGGAGATAGAGAGTATATTCTTGATTTAATTTTTAGATCTTCATGTCTTCTTCTAGAAAAGGAGAAGAATTGTAAAAGGAGTCAAGTGCTAACATGTTACGGCTCTTATGCATAAATAACATGGTTGGGGCCACAGAAGCTGGCCTTACACGAGAGTGGACTTTGGGGAAGTCGTTTTATAGTCATTGTGGCCCCATTTCCAAATAAATTCTATCAAACATACACTTCTTCTTTCTTGTTCTTTCCGGTAGTGGTTGGGGCCACGAGCAAATTAAGACAAGTAAAAGATGATCATATTGACATTTCGTTCACCGCACATCCATTTAGGGCGTGTTTGTCTTTTATTATTGAGAGAAAAATAGAGTAATGAATAGTATTTTTGGGAGAATGTGTGATTGAAAAGTAAAATAATTTAATTGATTTGTGTGTAAAATATTTTATTGGATGAATGTGTGGAAGATAATCTTACGGTAGCAAATTTTTTTTTTGAAATAATGGTAGACAAACAAAAGCTTAATATATTAAAGAATAACCTAAACTTTTATAGCCAGTTATGAACGACTTGGTATCCAACCTGATCTTTAACATCAAGAGTTTTAAATGATGAAACTTGCCAAAATCTCTATCATATAGTCGCGTTGCCCTCATATGCTCACTTCTAAAAATGGGATTTTGTTTCTCAACTTTGATCGATGCTTAAAAATTTAAAGTAGAACATTCTTCTATGTTGGATTCACAATTCTTATCAATTTTTCAACAACACGATTTACCAACTTTTATCAAAATTTACTAAAAATATGTTTTTTTAGCTAAATCGAATAGGGGCTTCATTGTTAGATTACCTGTTGAAAATCCAACTTGTTACTGAAGCAATAGGCTGGAGGACCAAAGGTGCAATTTTCCCAATAAAAAAAGGTACTTTTCCTTTTTTTCTTAAATTACTTTTTGCACTTTTATATCCTATATATACACCCCACCGTCACACCCTTCTATTCATATTCATATTCATTCACCAGCACACCAGCACTATCCTTCTTCCCCTGGGGGGGCTTTTTTTATCCTCCCGCACCTCGCACCGTTCCCAGTTCAATCTCTACACATCTGATAATCATTAATCAAAAATCTTATTTTTTCGTAATTCTGATTCCCCTTTGAAATCAGATCCCTGGAGGCTACATTTTTACACCCTCTTTTAAATTTGCGGAATTATTCTGTTCTTCTTCTTCTTCCTCTGCAAGATCCTTCATTATTAATGGCATCCAGGCCTCCAAATCAAAGAACACAAAAGCCCGATCTTCCTCCAAAAAGGGGCCAAGTTAAAGCTCGAATTTTTGGGAGCTTTGCCGAGACTGTATCCTCTGCGATCTCAAAAGCAAGGGAAGTACTGGCTAAAATCAAAGGAAGCAACAGCGCCACCGGTAGCGACAGCTCCACCTGCTTCGCCGCAAGTCCACCCTCGAGTCAGTACGCTTCTGATGCGTATTCTGATCGGGTTTGATGACTTCCAGTCCCAGTGAATTGGGCTTATTTTATTGCCTTCTCATTGTGTAAAATACCAGTAGTAGATGAAGAAAGGCAGTCTTATGATTTGTGTTGTTTTTCATAAAATCAGAGCTTTTGTTTTATTCTTGGCTCTGAGCCTCTCAGTACCTTTGTATTTTCTCACTCGTCCTTGTGATATATTTAATGCTTAAAACTTGTTTTGTAGTTTCCATTTGTGTTTATATACTTGTATTATTTGGCGTATATGGATTATTTGTGATGATGTGTTTAATACGTTGAACTCGAGTCATAAAATTTGAAATAGAAGAAAAAAAATTAATTGAATCGTCCCATTTGTTTAGAGTAATGTTATTCCTCCCGAGTGGGGTTACAAATACAGTCCAATTTGAGTGAAGTTAATGTGGCATTAAATGATAGGTGAAATGAACATATCATTTAATTTCATATTTTATTTAACCTATCATTTAGAGTCATCTGACTGTGTTTGTAACCCCAGTGGTGATGAATATCATTACTCATTTTTTTAATCCAAAATACATTTTGGTAATGGAAGATGTGTAGTTAAAAAAACAATAAAAAAATTATGGATTAAATGGGAGCATATTGTCCGTTGAATGGGTAGGTTTGAGTGCTGAACCAAAATTGTAAAGTTAATTGTGCAAGAATTATACAGTACAGGTACTAAATGCATCGATTTTCCTAACAATCATATATATATTTTATAATCAAGGTGCTTGTTTGGATAATATTATAAGTTATTTATAATTTAATGGTCAAATCGAATATTAATTTGAACGATACATTTTTCCCCTTTTTTGTGTTTCATTTTAGTTTTAGTGCATTTTTTTTTCAATCGCACATTTTTAGCCCTTGTTTGGACTCGATTTTAATGAAAATTTGAGAGAAATGAGTTTTGAAATAGTAATTTTGTTTAAGAATGCGTGGTTAAAAAATAAAGAAAAGTTTTCGATTTACATGTAATCCCCATTTGACACACATTCTTTTAAAATTCATTTTCAACCACACATTTTTCAATAAAATAATATTTTCAATCAAATTAATAACTTTTCTTTAATTTTTACCACATATTTCTCATCATATCACTATTTAAAATATATTTTTTTCTCAACAATATCCATCAAACACACAAGTAATGTAATTTTACGAGAGAATGTGGGGTTAAAAATGAATTTTGATAAAACGAGTTTTTTTTTTTTTTAAATGAGGGCCAAACATAGGCTTAATAAAATAATATCACATATAAACTCAACTTTAAATTACATTTTTAATCATATATTCTAAAAAAGAAATTGCTATTTTAAAATACATAGAAGCTGTGCTTTAAGTAATAATATATGGGGCATGTTTGGTATAACTCAAAATCCAATTAAAATTGAAAATATAGTCGTTATTGGGTCTCACTCATTTAATAAAAGTCAACAATAACGGTTAGTTTTTCAATTTTAATCCGATTTTAATCTCTATCGAACGCCCTAATGCTCTAGACTCGAGTCTACCACTTCTAAAGGAATGGGGTTAAGGAATAGTTAATGATGATAATATATTATTTTTATTTTTTCATCTAATTTTAAAAAAATTAACGTTTATGACTTAGACTTGGTGGGTCCAATTTTTTTTGCCAATGCAATCTAGATAAGAATCAAGTCTTTTTCAAGACAGCTAATACAATTTCAAAATTTCTCCTCTTAGTTGCACTCTACAAAATTCTACTTCCACGCGTATTTTCACGCGTAAGACGGATTTTGGTGTTTTCGTCAAAGATTTAATAGCACCTAATTTTCATAAGTGGGTGACGATAAAATTTGAGTTCAGATGTTGAGTCTAATTAAATCTTAGAGTCCGTTTGATATGTAAATGTGGAAATGAATTCCAATTCCATGTTAGTTACAAAATAGAAACCCACCAAATTTATAGGAATTCGTTTTACATAAAAATAAAGAAAATCCAGCTTAAAGTGGTTGTACCTTGGAATTCGATTTCTATTTCCACGTTGCAATCAAACGGTCAAAGTGGAATTCGTTTTCTTCGGATGCGACATTTTTCATGGAATTCGTTGCAATCAAATAGGGTCTTATATCATGTTCCATTATTTTTTCCAAAGATTTATTAAAGTGGATGAAATGATATTCGTTCAAATTTTATCGTCAACACGAAGTATAAGAGCCTGTTTAATTCTCATTAATTGAGAAAAAAATAAATTTTGAATAGAATTTTTGATTAAAAAGTAAAATATTTTATTGTGTGAATATATTGTTGAAAATAATTTTACAGCAAACCATAAAATAAATTGTGTCAAACAGGCGCTACATAGTACAAGGTCAATTTTGTATAATTTATGTTCTAATTCTAACAATAAGCACAAAGCACTCGTCTAGCTCCCATTTTGTCCAAAACAAATGCATTCTTTTCATGAGTTTTGCTTCTTGTACAGTCTTCCATTACAGTTTTCATTACAATGTTTCAAAATTGATGATGTGGCAAGGGCGGGGAATTAAATTTAGTGAATGAAAATAGAACCCACTTCAACCCACATACATATTTGACTTTTTCTCCTCTCTCCACTGAACCCCGAGCTTTACCTTTGTTGCCGCAGTGAAATCACCTTCTCCAATATTGACGCCGCAAAATCGACGGGCATCGTCTATTTATCTTCGTGTTTTGTTAAACCTTCCCAACCCATTTACTCGCATACGTGAAGAGGAGGTGAAGAAGTGAAATCAGTTGGAACACAACTTTGATGAACTGTTGAGTCACATTAACTCACTAAAGCGCTCTTTGTGGATATTTTCTGTTCATGAATTTTTATTTCAGGGAGAAGAATTGGAAACTTTAATTGAAAATGACCAGAAAAGCCAAACTTTGTGTTCTGCATTGTCCCTGATTGCTCAAGTATTTGTAAATATGATTTCTGCACTTTCAGGGACGTCGACAACTTCGCTATATCCAGATTCCTTAATGTCCTTGTAATGCCGTGGATGGTGGCGCGGAAATGCTTGGGATTAGGGAAGAAGAGAAAATGTGAGATGATTTTCGGGCATAATGGGATGGACACGTATGAATCTTCGGAGAAAGGAACGGGAGATGAAGGGACATTGAAAATTGTTGGAGACGAAGAGCAAAGGAACAGAGCATTTGAGGAAGAAGAGGTTTGGTTAGAGTTGTACAAGGTTGGTCATTTGGGTTTTGGCAGAGTTTCTATCACTGGAATCCCTTCTCAGACCAAAATTATGAATATAGAAATTTTGAGATGTTAGACACAACTTTATTTAGAAATAAGTTCATTCAATGTGAAAGACCATTTATAGTTGATTTGAACAACATAAAGCATGCTTTAATTGATGTTCTTATTCAACCTTTTAATTGTTTTTTCTCCAATAAGATTGTACAAGTGCTGCCATTGTACCCAATGTCTTCAGCAAAGTCAGAGTTCAGTGGCAATCCTAGTGAGACAGAAAATTTATTGGATGCAGGGATCAATTTATGTGCTGGTTATGCTGATGAAAATATGAAACTGGGTGGCGAGATCCAGCTTATTGAGGATTATTGTACATCTTATTCCAAAGTATGAAAATTGGACAGATTCTTCTTGTTATTCTATAGTTCAACCTTTTGCCTAACATTTATAATTCACTAGGCTTTGCAAAGTAAACATTGGCTGGAAAAGAAAAGCCCAACTCACAAACCATTAAGCCAAACATACATCAAACTGTAATTCACAAAGGCACACTAACATGAATCATTATGGAAACATTAAACTGTAATTCACAAAGCCTTCAACTCTACTTCTAGAAACATGAAAACATTTCAACGAACAGACTGAAAATATACTACAACTGAACAACATCATCTGCACTCGCTTGCTGTGTTGCGTCAACTGCTCTAATGGAAGTTCCCACTTGGTATACTTAATGTGGATAGTAGTACGGTATTGATGACCAGTGTGTAACTGCAGGATTTTCTTGATCACCCTACATGAATTAACAAATTTTCAGTTAGTATATCCAATACTCAACGCTCATCCTGTCTCATTTGTTTCTGATCACCAACTAATTAAAAGAGAATAATAAAGTCGAATTTAAGAGATATGCACCAACTAATCATATTTTTACACGTGAAAAGAAAGGGAAGAAGACTGAAGAAAGAAGCAAATGAAAACAGATTTTGACATCTACAGTTTTCCATTTAGGATTCATGAATGATTTCAACCACTAATTACAGCCTTCATCTTGAATTAAGTTTCCAATTCTTCTCCCTTAAATAAAAATTCATGAACAGAAAATATCCACAAATTATGCAAGTACTAAACTCTGAAGAAACTATTAAGGAAATTCTTAAAGTCCTAAAAACTCCTTAAAAGATCAACATTTACACAGTACCTCTTAATTAGAAAGAACCCCCAAAAAAATGCAAAGTACAGTTCAGAAAATGGCCAACATTATCCACAGATAGAGTAGAACATTAAAAAAAAAAAGATGGATCAAAGTTCTTCAAAGAGCTCTTTAGAGAGTAAATGTGACTCAACAGTTCATCAAAGTTGTGTTCCAACCGACATCACTTCTTCACCTCCTCTTCACGTATGCGAGTAAATGGGTTGGGAAGGTTTAGCAAAACACGAAGATAAATAGACTATGCCTGTCGATTTCGCGGCGTCAATATTGGGGAAGGTGATTTCACTGCGGCAACAAAGGTAAAGCTCGGGTTCAGTGGAGAGAGAGGAGAAAAAGTCAAATATGTACGTGGGTTGAAGTGGGTTCTATTTTCATTCATTAAATTTAATTTTCCGCCCTTGCCATGTCATCAATTTTGAAACACTGTAATCAAAACTGTAATGGAAGATGTACGTGAAGCAAAACTCTATTTTTTTTTCTTTTTCAACCACGCATTTCCCATCATATCACTATTCAAAAATTAATTCTTCCTCTAAAAATTCCTGCCAAACACACTCTTAATCTGTTTCAATCAAAAGTTTTGACTTTCCTCAAAGCAACCATAATCAAGATCAACTGAACAAACCGGAAAAATGATCTCTTTCACATGTTACCTTCTACTTGTACTTTCAGGCCTGATTATCACCGACGCAATCAATGGCCAAGATTTCAGAATAGAAGAAGCCACCATCAAAGACATACAGCTGGCATTCACCCAAAAAAAGCTCACTTCCCGCGAACTAGTTGACTACTATTTGCACCGGATCACAGCCCTTAATCCAGTGCTTCGCAGCGTCGTTGAAGTAAATCCTGACGCATTGCATCAGGCGGACCAGGCTGATTTGGAGAGGGAGAGAAATAACGACAGCCGTCGATCATTAAGTGACTTGCACGGTATACCGGTGCTCCTCAAGGACAGTATTGCTACCAAAGACAAGCTTAATACTANATTGTTCTAGTGAAGGGAAAAAATAAACATTGAAATCGGTATTTTTTTTGGCAGGGAAACAAATTTTGAAAATGTTGGCTTGATTTTAACTGAAAACGCCCAAAACGACATTTTTGTCGTCTTAGATTTTCTTTGAAAATTTTAGCTCCTGTTTGTCTACCATTAATCCAAAAAATTGTTTGCTACAGTAAGACTCTTCACCACACATTCACCAAATAAAATATTCTACCCACAAACCAATAAAGTTACTTTAATTTTTAACCTCACATTCTCCATAAAATATTATTCATTACACTAATTTTCTCCCAATAATGGAAGACAAACAAGCTCTTAAATTCGTTTTCGAAAATTCTTTTTTGAAAATAAGTAAGTAAACATGTTTTCACTATTTTGAAAAATCGAAAACAGAAAACAAGCTGAAAATGATAAAGAGAACAACTCCTAAACGCTTTAGTCCCCTTTTTTTGTGAAAAAATATGTATCGTGAGGACAATAAATCTCAGTCCACTTTAATGGACCAATCTCAGTCCACTTTCAAAAATATGAAATGGCTAATTGACGACATTCTACATTTACTCCCAGTTTTGTAGAGAATTTTTGAAAACGAATTTTATCTGAAAAGTGATTTTTGAAAAATGCGTGAAAGTAGTAGAAAAAACAATGAATTTACGTACAAAATTATTTTATTGAAAGAACGTGTTGTTGAAATTCGAAAATGAGTTTTAGAATATGGGGTTAACATAATAGTAATACTTAATTATCGTAATTTTGAATTGTTTGGCATACTGTGCAGTCTTGGGGGCCAAGTAATTCAAATTTAGTTCCTTGGAAATTCTCCCGTATAAAATATCTGCTCCAACAAGGCAACATCTCTCAAGTCTAGATACCCAATCATCAATCAGTGCCCCACCCCAGTCTTGGGTGCCAAGTAATTGAAATGTGTTCCATAGAAATTCTCCCAAGTGTATAAATATCTGCCCCCACAGACATCTCTCAAGTCTCGATACCCCCAACCCCGCCAGAATATTCTATTCACCTTTTGTTTTTACTCTTAATTGACCATAAGATGGAAGTCACTTCCCCCAAATCAAACCGTAGGCTCCCACCTGAGAGAGGTGAAATCACGAAGAAGATACTGAGCTCAGTGATAAAGTCGGCCGTTGGAATTCTGTCGAGAAAGGAGAAAAAAGAGCCCCTCAGTTCGAATTCCACAACCCCAAATCAAACTCCGAGTGGGTTCAATTCTGGGGAGGATCCCGATGGTCATGGATGATGCTTTTACTATTTACTGAATCTTGGTGCGCTAGTTGTGTATTGTGTAAATACATACAGTACGAAGAAGGGGAGTAAGCGGTGCTTATTTTCTGCTCAATATTAATTGTGATTTTGTAAATACTGTAGTTTATTGGGTTGTATGCTGAAGACACAGAGCATTTCTCAAGTGCCTTTCCATGTAATCTGTGTCCGACGGTGGTTATTCTCTGCCGTCGGATTATTGACGATGATTTGCTCTGGGATTACACATGCAATTTTAGTAAGGGGGCTCGCTTAGAGCCTTAAATTCAAATAAAACCCAAAGATTATCTTCAAATAATTACTTATTTATTTAATAAAAAATGTTACCTTGTTCATAGTGTCACATTTGATTTTCGAAAGATATGTAGTAATTTTCGTCTAGTGGGAGTATCGAATTTCATGAATAACTGTTCTAATAAATGAATGAACAATATACTCTGTTTGGTACGTGATGTGGTCATTATTATGGACACTTGTAATCTGTGTCCGACGGTGGTTATTCTCTGCCGTCGGATTATTGACGATGATTTGCTCTGGGATTACACATGCAATTTTAGTAAGGGGGCTCGCTTAGAGCCTTAAATTCAAATAAAACCCAAAGATTATCTTCAGATAATTACTTATTTATTTAATAAAAAATGTTACCTTGTTCATAGTGTCACATTTGATTTTCGAAAGATATGTAGTAATTTTCGTCCAGTGGGAGTATCGAATTTCATGAATAACTGTAATAATAAATGAATGAACTATATAATATTTATTTAAGTTCTGTTTGGTACGCATTGTTTCAAAATACATTTTTTTAAAACTCATTTTCAACCACACATTTTTCAATAAAATAATATTTTTTATCACATTAATAACTTTTCATTGCATTTTAACCACATATTTTCTATCATATCATTATTTAAAATACATTATTTCCTCAATATTATCTATCAAACATGGTGTGTTTGAGCCACATTATTTTAGAAGAATGAATTTAGGAATAGTAGATTGATGAAGAATGTGTGGTTGAAAAAGAAGGAAAAATTATTGATGTGATGGAAAATATTATTTTATCGAGAAATGTGTGGTTAAAAATGAGTAGAAAAGTATAAATGAAAATTTAAAAATGGCTCAAAAAGGGGCTTAGTTATAAATTGTTTTAAAATAGATTTGAACCCGTAAAGAAATGAGCCCCTGCTTTATTTAGATAAAATAAATTTTTTTAGTAGATTTTGTTTAGTGTTCATGAAAATTAATTGAAAAATTGATAAAAGTTTCGAGTTTCATAAAATATATAATTAAAAGTAATTTTACGAAAAATAAATTTAGAAAATATAGATCGAACATGGACTGTAGATATCCAAGTTCAGTCGCAACAGCACAAGAATTTGAGGGTCTAACCTATGTTTTCGATTTCAAGACCGTCACGTCATACCTCCCCGGAAATTTTAGGGAAAAAAAATCATATTTAAGGTGTATTCTTTACCTCAATTCAAAAATAAAGTAAATAGT